AGCTACCTCTCTTGTGAAACAGATGACAAGCCTCTTGGTACCTTGTTAGTCTTTAGTGGTATAATCATTACACTGTTTTCAGGTCCTGTCAAACCAGATGTACACTTTGTATTTCATGTTTGGAGCTCCTGGAATTTTTTAATTCTCAGGTGTGTCAGGGCCCCAGTTAGGACCAAGACCACAGTGACAACACGCATGAAGAGTGGACTTAAGCCTTCCCCCCTCCCTATGTAATTTTTCTGATCTGAAACACCTGGAAGAACCATTATTTGCCCTGTTGAAGAAATTTATAGGTACCCCAGAGCAGTGTTCCCTTCTAAGCTGAGTTAGTGTGCACTAGCTCACAGTTTTTTAACCTCCAGCTCACACATTTTTGTCTTTGCTCAGGGAGGATGGCTCCAGAGCAAACTATGCAGTAGTCAAATCACTCGCTCACAGCTTTAATGCCAGTAGCTCACAAAGTTGAATTTATGCTCACAAGACTCCACAGTTTAGAGGCAGTATTGCCCCAGAGGTACATGTAAGCTTCTCCTGGTGGTAAATAACAGCTCCTGGAGGTACTGGGGGTAGTGTGTGTGTGTGTGGGGGGGGGGTTAAGGATCTTCTCTCTCCATGCACCATGGTCCTGATCTGAATTGGGCCCCATGTCCCTGAGAAATAGTTTGAAAACTACAGAGAATTCCAGATCTGAAATTCCCAGGATAGGTCTGGCTTGACAGGATTTGGTGTGATCATGGAACAAAAAGTTGTGGGGTTAAGTCCTGAGATGGTTATGATGCTGATGACAGAGCTGATCTCTCTCCCTTTCTTGCCACTCAAAGCAATGCATTTAATTCAGTACACTTGATAATTTTTTTAATCTGCATTTCCTTGTATACTGGTCTACCGCTGTGCAGAATAAGGAAATACACTTTTCAAAAGACTCCCATCACCTTCAAGTTTTATATGTCAAGGCTGATGCGTTTCAGTACATTGATACCCAGGTATAGTGGCACGTTTACAAGGAACTTTAGTGAGTGCATAGTTTCTCCATTGAAACAAGTTTCCATACCAGATGAGAGTTCTGTTGTTTTATACACGAACCAGTTTTATGTGTGGACCAGTTTATAACTGAGCTTGTCAAGAGCTTCATGAATGTCTGTGGAGCTTTGGTTTGGGTCTGATTTATTTTATTAGTCAAAAGAAGATAGGTACACACTCTTAGATTTGTGGGCATGATTGTTTTTAACTGATCTAGGAGTGAGAGTAGGATAATATGTGCAGCAGAAGGATAAACATACAGTGCACAGTGTTGTAGTTCACATTCATGCCCTCTTGAACCATTTTGTTATGTTGTAGCCCTATTACCTTTATAAAAATAAACTTCTGAACAATTCTGTTTTACATAGTTTTGTGGAAGGAAGGGCATCTTCAGTGAGTGGAAGGATACCTTTCATTAGGATGAAGGGCACCTTTGGATCCAACCCCATGGTTTGGCTTGAATCCTTAAGACATGTAGAACAATAGCCAGCATAATTGCTAGTAATATAACTTCATTTCTTAGGGTTCCTTTTCCAGCATAATTATTGCTTCATATCTTGAAATATTTCATGGCTCTGCCTTAACTCACTGGACATAGAAAGAGCAAAGTTCAAGGTAGGCTCTGTCAGGACATCATTGTGCTCTGCTTTTCACGTTATGAGTTATTGGTAGAGAATCATGTGGTAAATATGTCAAAAATATAACACTTAATATGTGCCAGCCCTACATTCTTTGTACTGTCGAATTACACTCCAAGATGAGCCAAGAGAAAAGGCAGGATATAAATGTTTTAGTAAATAAATAAATATTGTGTTTCTTCATAAAATATCAGCGATTGTCTGACTCCTGTCTCATATTCTGCTTGGAGGTAGTATGTACCATGGTACTATAAAGCAGTTGTGAGTATAGCTTGTAATTAAGTACATAAGTAAACTTATAATAAGAACTTGGAAAGACTTGGAAATTTTTTGTGCTGTTTGATACATATTGAGGAAAAGATGTGTACTGCTGCATAAGATGATTTAGGACAGAACTTTGCAATGCTACTTTTACACTGGCGAAAGAAGTGTGGATTATAGTAGTAAAGTTCTGGATTATTAAAACTGGTATGGTTGTTGTACTCAGAATTGTGTTGGCCGGTGTCATAAGCCAGGAATTCCTAACCTGTTTTGGTAAATAAACCAAAGAATTAATTTTTGACTTGCATACTCAAATCCTTGACTTGCAGCTTCAATTTTGTTTACTCCTTATACTACAGAATTTGTGACATCTGTGGCTGGCACCCATAGGGTGGGTTATGCCCTGTGGATGCCAATTGGAGATCACTGCTCTAGCAATTGAAAACAAGTGGTTAATCACTGATTGCCTCATTGGGGAAGTTGACATCTAGCCAGATTAGACAATAATGACTCCCTGTACTGCAGGCAAGAAAATGGAGGGGGGGAGGCTTAAGCCCTTTCTCACCACATGCCTTGGTGCTGATACAAATTGGACCCATGCGTGGTTGGCAGACACGGAACTCGGAGACTACATTTGTTATATGGATCCTGTAGTTAGACCCTTAGTCTTGTGTAAACCATAGTTAAATTTCAAGAACCGTTTGAACTTGACAGAAGATATAAGACTAATCTTTGAAGCTCCAGTTCTCTGTGATGCAGCCTAAATGCTGTGACTGCATTATCGTTTGAGGGGAAGAAAGTCTTGTAGAACTCTAAAACTGGAGTAACTGCTTGATTGTGCAGTGTGAATCCTGAGCTTTCAACTATCTCCAGTACATATGAGGAAAGTTTGCTGTGAACATAAGTAGGTCTGTTTGCGATAATTTCTGACATAAGGTTATACATATTAAAAGATGTAAGAAGCACTCCTGTTTTGCAAACACTATATGGAATCTTCTTCAGGGCTGTTCTGTAATGTAGGAAATTAAGCAGTTGTTACAGTCTGCTCAGCTAAGTATTACTGAAGTGCACTTGTTAAGCAACATGATTATCATGGGGTTTCTTGTCAGTCCTCCAGCTCCCTATAATCTTTCTCCCTGTATCTGTAACTGCATTATTTTGATGGCAGCTATGATTTTTTAATGAGGTGAGTCCTGCAATCATTCAGCAACATGTACTGAGGGATGTGGGTCTTTCTCTTGTTCCCCTTCCACTAGCAGTCTTTTCTGACTCTGGGAAAGTTGGTTCCTGGAGTTGCAACACCTGTATTGTGAATAACCACATGTGGAGCAGAAGGCTGCAGTCAGGAGGGGAAAGGGGAAGAATCACCCACCCTGACTCTTCCAGCTGCTGATGGGGGGGAGGGAAATGTCATCCCCTCCCTATTGCAGCCTCTCAATTTACGTGGTTATTGGTCCATGTAGATTCTGCAACCCTGGGAATCAGTTGCTGGGGGAAGGAGAACAAGAGAAAGAGCCCTGATCTCCTTGCGTTCTTGCATTACAGGATCCATCCCAGTACACTATTTACTATAATAATGGCTCAGCATCACTTCTCTGTGTTGTAGCTTTATAATCCCCATTTTACAGATATTAAACTGAGCACAGAAATCTCAGTGCTTCTGTGGCCTGCTGAAATTTGAAATCTACAACCCCCCATTTCAAGTCCAGTAGTCACTACAAGGCTATGCTAACCCTTCCTACAGTGGGCTAGTGCAAACATAATGGTAGGTCCCTTTTCCCTCCATGAATCAATTTCTCATCCTTCCCTTCCTGGGTCTTGTATTATGTGTGCATCGATATAAACTAGGATCCCTTCTATCCATTAAAGTTGTGAGCGAGTCTACATTTGACTGTTGCATAAATTAGTTTTTTAGAAGGTTATTTCTACAACCTTGTAAAAATCTCAGAATGAATTCTTTTAAACTATATTTAACCTATATTTTAAGAGTAATTGAAACATTATAAGAGAAAACAGAATCAAGTGAAATTTCATTACAGAAAACGTTGTCTTCTTTGGAGGTAGACCAGGCCTCTGGAGAACAGGTCTACCTGGCCCTTTCTACTGTATTGGTAGACCTGGCCTCAGACCGTCACCCTGTGCTAAGCCTTACAAAGCATACTAGCACTTGGAGGGGGGGACTCTTGCAGTTTTTCCTATGACTTAAGGCAGCTTACAAATCATACTGAAAAGCATAATAGGGGTGTGCAAAACAACAACAACAACCCACAATTTTCCCCCAGCTCCATTATAGCCTATGAGGACCATTATAATCAATGGGCCCCATATGGGAGAATCAATCTGGGGGTATCTGGGGCTCTTGTGGGGGACTGGTTTTTTGAGGTAGAGGCACTAAATTTGCAGCATAGCTGCTGGTGCTTCTCCTCAAACCCTACCCCCCCCCAACCCCCCAAAGTTTCAAAAAGATTGGACCAGGGGGTCCACTTCTGTGGGCCCCAGGTGTCCTCATCCTCCATTGTTTCCAGTGGAGGGGAAAATGCCTTCTCAGTTTACTTGTGAGCTGAAGCTAACATTCCTGAGCTGCCACCTAAAATTTTGTGTGCCAGCTTAGAGGGAACTTTGGTCAGGGTGCATTTTGGAGGAAGGCCTTCAGTTGCTGATTTATGTAGAACTTCAGAATTTTTTTAAAAATACACTTCCATTTCTTATTGTTCTTGGAGCCGGGCTGGTTTATTATATTTTTATAATTTATGTTTCAGCTCATGGCTAAGGTGAGGCAGAAAAACAGAAGCATTTAGCTAACTTTGTTGTGTTTGAATTTGTTCCTAATTCTTTGTGCACTGGGTTTTGTAATCATAAATAGATCTCTGAAATTCAGTGCAATGTGAGTTGGGAAAAGCTAGACTCAAAATGTTCTTCAACTAATGGTGGTTTGCTTGATTTTAAAAAATAATTAGTCCTGATTTTTGTTATTTCTTGAATGCTAACATTTTGGTGTGTTTTGAATTTATGTTCAGTTTATGTTTCTTGGGGAGGAGAGGACCTGTTCTAATTATTTCTCTCTCTCCCTCGATTCATTAGACATTTGCTGAGCAAGTTTTTGGAGTATTCAGCTGGTTCATTCCAATTGCTGTTGCCTTCTCTTGTTTTGGTGGACTCAATGCTTCTATTCTAGCATCATCTAGGTAAAGGACTTCTAATGTTGGCTTTATTTTACTGAAGTTTGTGTTTTTGCTCTCCCCCTTCGCCCCCCAAAATGCTTTGCTTCTACACTTTGGCTAAGCTGGGTCTTAAGTGTTAAATTGCAGTTCCTTCTGTTTTTGTTTTTAACTATATGTAACTATATGTAATTTTCTTTTGTAAACTGTTTTCAGCAAGTTGTGGAAAAGTAATCTACACATTTTTAAAGCTTGCATCTTTTTGGTATTAATATTTCTTCAGAATTATTTTTTATAAAGTTTTAGGAAAGGACAATGGAGACAAATGGGTGCGGGGGGAGGGGATTGAAGACAACATTAGGTGCAGAAAACAGAATGATGGGATTGGGGTAGTCAAGGAACTGAAGGTTTAACCCATCTAGAGGACAGTTATTTGGTGTATAAACTATTGTTTGCACTGTGATCTGAGTGTCCTAAAAATATGTTCCCAAAGGATCTTTGATGTTCTGACTTCTTTGGTTTTTTTAAAAAAAGAGCTGTACTTTTCTCCTAGCTCTGTTAATGCTATGGAAAGCTTTTCATAACTCAACTTTGAAAAAATCTTTACGAAACTCACTCTGGTTGAGAATAAATGTGAAATGTAAGGCAGTGTGTGGATATTGTGTTCATACCTGAGAGAAGTTCTAACAAATGTATTTCGTAGCACATTCCATTAGGCATTCCAAGATCCTCAGAACTTAGAAACTGGAGTTGTAATATATAGTGGTTCATTTGCTTCATGCATTTCTGTTCCTATCTACCACCTTAGACTTTTACATACCACCAACATAAAAAAATAAAATAAAAATTAAATGATAATTTACAGACACCACCATTTTTCTAACACAGTCAAGACCCAGGGCCTAATCTGCTTGCAAGAAGATGCACATGTGGTAAACTTGTGTTTAGAAGCTCTCTGGAGTCTTCATGTGCTGAAGCTGGCTCTATGT